AGCTTGGGTTCCCAGCAACAATATGACTTTTAAATAGGGAAGCGAGGAGCTGCCAGACGCGCTCACACCCCAGCAAAAAGAATATCCCCATTGTTATTGCCGCTTGCTGTGCGCTCCACAATATCTGTGAGAGTAAGGGGGAGACATTTATGGCGGGGGGGGGGGGTGAGGCAACTCTCCTGGCCGCTGATTACGCGCAGCCAGACACCAGGGCGGTTAGAGGAGCACAGCAGGGCGCGGTGCGCATCAGAGAAGCTTTGAAAATGAGTTTTGTGACTGGCCAGGCTAGGGTGTGAAACTTCTGTTTGTTTCTCCTTGATGAACCCTCCGCCCCCCCCCCACCCGGTTCACTCTACTTCCCTGTAAACCCCACCCTCCCCTCCCCACTTCGAGCACCGCTTGCAGAGGCAATAAAGTCATTGTTATTTCACATTCATGCATTCTTTATTAATTCCTCACACAAGTAGGGGGATAATTGCCAAGGTAGCCTGGGATGGGTGGGGGAGGAGGGATGGAAAAGGACACACTGCATTTTAAAACTTTAACTCTTATTGAAGGCCAGCCTTCTGATGCTTGGGCAATCATCTGGGGTGGAGTGACTGGGTGGCCGGAGGCCCCCCCACCGTGTTCTTGGGCGTCTGGGTGAGGAGGCTATGGAACTTGGGGAGGAGGGCTGTTGGTTAAACAGGGGCTGTAGCGGCGGTCTCTTCTCCTGCTGCATTTCCTGCAGCTCAACCAATCGTTGGAGCATATCAGTTTGATGCTCCAGCAGACGGAGCATTGACTCTTGCCTTCTGTCTGCAAGCTGACGCCACCTATCATCTTCAGCCTGCCACTTGCTCTTTTCATTCCGCGATTCAGCCCGCCACCTCTCCTCTTGTTCATATTGTGCTTTTCTCATGTCTGACATTGACTGCCTCCACGCATTCTGCTGTGCTCTATCAGCGTGGGAGGACATCTGGAGCTCCGTGAACATATCATCCCGCGTCCTCCGTTTTTTCTTTCTAATGTTCACTAGCCTCTGTGAAGGAGAAACATTTGCAGCTGGTGGAGGAGAAGGGAGAGGTGGTTAAAAAAGATACATTTTAGAGAACAATGGGTACACTCTTTCGTTACAAGGTCGCAATGAGGGCCTGCCGGTTTGGTATGAGAGATCACTCACGCAGTGCCAGGCAACAGATTTCGATTTGCAGGCAGCCATGGTAAGCCACAGTCTTTTGGCTTTTTTAACCTTCTTAACATGTGGGAATGATTTCAAACAGCAGCGCCCTCATTTCCCATATCAAGGATGAATTGGGTTGGCCATTTAAAATGGGTTTTCAATGTAAAAGGAGGGGCTGCGGTTTGCGGGTTAACATGCAGCACAAACCCAACTAAACCACCCCCCCCCACACACACCCTATTCTCTGGGATGATCACTTCACCCCTCTCCCCACCGCGTGGCTAACAGCGGGGAACATTTCTGTTCAGAAGAGCAGGAACGGGCACCTCTGAATGTCCCCTTAATAAAATCACCCCATTTCAACCAGGTGACTGTGAATGATATCACTCTCCTGAGGATAACAAAGAGCGATAAGGAATGGATGTTGTTTGCATGCCAGCAAACACCGGGTCCATACGCTGCCATGCTTTGTTATGCAATGATTCCAGACTACGTGCTACTGGCCTGGCGTGGTAAAGTGTTTTACCATGGCGGACGGGATAAGGCAGCCCTGCCCAGAAACCTTTTGCAAAGGCTTTGGGAGTACATCAAGGAGAGCTTTCTGGAGATGTCCCTGGAGGATTTCCGCTCCATCCCCATACACGTTAACAGACTTTTCCACTAGCTGCACTGGCTGCGATTGCCAGGGCAAATTAATCATTAATCATTAAACACGCTTGCTTTTAAACCATGTGTAATATTTACAAAGGTACACTCACCAGAGGTCCCCTGTGTGCCCTCGGGGTCTTGGGTGAGTTCAGGAGTTACTGGTTCCAGGTCCAGGGTGACAAACATATGCTGGCTGTTGGGGAAACCGGTTTCTCCACTTCCTTGCTGCTGTGAGCTACCTACATTACCTCCATCCTCAGCTTCCTCATTCCCCGAACCCTCTTCCTTGTGTGTTTCTCCAGTGAGGGAGTCATAGCACACGGTTGTGGTAGTGGTGGCTGCACCCCCTAGAATGGCATGCAGCTCCGCGTAGAAGCGGCAAGTTTGTGACTCTGCCCCGGACCTTCCATTTGCTTCTCTGGCTTAGTGGTAGGCTTGCCGTAGCGCCTTAATTTTCACGCGGCACTGCTTTGTGTCCCTGTTATGGCCTCGGTCCTTCATGGCCTTGGAGACCTTTTCTAATACTTTGCCATTTCTTTTACTGCTACGGAGTTCAGCTAGCACTGATTCATCTCCCCATATGGCGAGCAGATCCCGTACCTCCCGTTCGGTCCATGCTGGAGCTCTTTTATGATCCTGGGACTCCATCACGGTTACCTGTGCTGATGAGCTCTGCGTGGTTACCTGTGCTCTCCACGCTGGGCAAACAGGAAATGAAATTCAAACATTCGCGGGTCTTTTCCTATCTACCTGGTCAGTGCATCTGAGTTGAGAGTGCTGTCCAGAGCGGTCACAATGAAGCACTGTGGGATAGCTCCCGGAGGCCAATAACATCGAATTCCGTCCACACTACCCCAATTCCGACCCGCAAAGGCCGATTTTATCGCTAATCCCCTCGTCGAAGGTGGTGTAAAGAAACCGGTTTAAAGGGCTCTTTAAGTCGAAAGAAAGGGCTTCGTCATGTGAACGTGTCCAGGCTTAATTCGATTTAATGCTGCTAAAGTCGACCTAAACTCGTAGTGTAGACCAGGCCTTATTAATCTTACCTCATATGGAAGCTGTTCCGTACCCCTAATCATTTCTGTTTCCCCTTTCTGAACCTCTTCCAAGGGTTCACCAGGACTGCATGCAGTATTCAAAATGTGGGTGTACCATGGATTTATATATAGGCAATATGATATTTTCTGTCTCATTATCTATCCCTTTCTTAATGATTCCCAACATTCTGTTCACTTTTTTGACGGCCGCTGACAATGAGTGGATGTTTTCAGAGAACTATCCACAGTGACTCCCAGATCTCTTCCTTGAGTGGTAACATCTAATTTAGACCCACCCCTCACCCCCCATTTTGTATGTATATTTGGGATTATGTTTCCCAATGTGCATAACTTTGCATTTATTAACATTGAATTTCATCTGCCATTTTGTTATACAATCACCCAGTTTTGTGATATCCCTTTGTAGCTCATCACAATCAGTTTTGAATTTAACTATCTTGAGTGGTTTTGTATCATTTGCAAATTTTTCCACCTCACTGTTTATCCTTTCTCCAGATCATTTACGAATATGCTGATAACACTGGTCACAATACAGACCCCTGGGGGACACCACTATTTACCTGTCTCCCCTGTGAAAATTGACCATTTATTCCTTTGTTTTCTATTTTTTAACCAATTACTGGTCCAGGAGAGGACCTTGCCATTTCTCCCATGACAGCTTACTTTGCTTACAAGCCTTTTGTGAGGGACCTTGTCAAAGGCTTTCTGAAAATCTAAGTACACTACATCGACTGGGTCATGCTTGTCCACATGCATGTTGACTCCCTCAAAAAATTCTAGTAGATTGGTGAGGCATGAGTTCCCTTTACAAAAACTATATTGACTCTTCTGCAACAAATCATGTGCATCTATGCATCTGATGTTTTTCTTCTTTACTATAGTTTCAACCAGTTTGCTGGGCACTGAAGTTAATCTTCGTGGCCTCTAATTGCTGGGATCACCTCTGGAGCCTTTTTTAAAAATTGTTGTCACTTTAGCTATCCTCCAGTCATCTGGTACAGAAGCTAATTTAAATGATAGGTTACATACCACAGTTAGTAATTCTGCAATTTCACATTTGAATTTCTTCAGATCTCTTCTCCAGCTTACTTATGAGAATGCCATGTGGGACTGTGTCAAAAGCCTTGCTGAAGTCCAGGTATATTATGTCCACTGCTTTCCCCCTGCCACCAACCAGGTACCTCATCAAAGAAGGAAATCACGTTGGTTTGGAAGAATTTGTTCTCGGTGAATCCATGCTGGTGATCACCCCTTCGTCCTCACAAATTGAAGGTGTTATACATTGCTCTAGTAGCTGTCCAGGTGTCGAGGTCAGGCTTACTGGTCTATAGTTCCCCGGCTCCTCCTTTTTCCCCTTTTAAAGATGGCCACTCTATTAGTTCTTCTCCCATCTTCTGAGACCTCTCCTGGCATCCATGAGTTTGCAAATATTATTGCCAGTGACTCCAAGACTTCTTCCACTAATTCCTTCTGCCCCACTGATTTGAATTCATTCCCTTTCGTCGGAAGGCCTCTGACATGTTCTTTACATATCCCGGTCTGCAGCCCTTACCTTTTGTTTTTCGTGGTAACTTCGCTAGTCTCCTGTTCACATGTTGTTTTTTTGTGGGAAGACTGAAGCAAACAGACACTGAGCAGCGCTGCCTTCCCACCATCTTCTGTCACCAGCTTAGGATTTTCTGTCCAATCTCATGATTCCTAGAGAAAATCTCATTTTTTTTCACCAATTTAAGGATTTTTTTAGCCCACAATCTCTTGGGACCGTCTGGTGATTTGGGGGTCACTGCACTGCCAGCAGCCCCAGATCAGCCCCCTGCAGAGCCCAGCAGTACTGACGGTCCCCCAGGTAGATCTGTCTCCCCCCTGAAACAGCCTCTGCTCTCACACTTCCCACCCTCCATCTGTCTCTAGGTCTGTCCCAGTCCGACACCCCAGCCATGGGCAGAGCCCTGCTGCCACAGCATGACGCCGGGGAAAGGGAGCTCCCAGTTCAGGGCCCCCTCTGGAGAGCAGGGGGTCCTGCCACACTGAGGGTCCTGATCCTCACCCTGCTCTGGAGGGGTAAGTAAGTGTCACCTGCATCCCCAGTGCAGGGGGAAGGGCAGAACCTGTGCTAAGTGGGGCCAGGTCTGTCCCAGAACTTGGAAGAGAGACTGGCCAGTTGGGGAGGGGAGCCCAATGCCCCAGTGTGGTGTTAGGGGGCGCTGAGCAACAGGGAGTGGGGGCAGGGGGCTCATTGTAGGGAATGATGGAAACTAAATGGAGTGAGATTTGGTCAAGGACACAGGGCTGGGCTCACATGGGGCTGCAGGTTGGGAGTGAGGGGCACCAGCAGAGCTGGGCAGGGGGGTTGAGCTCGGGGCTGGGGTCACAGGGGGCTGCAGGTCGGGAGTGAGGGGCACCAGCACAGCTGGGTGGGGGGAGCTCAGGGTTGGTCTCTGCTCTCTATGGGTCCCATTTCGATTCCTCTGCATCCCCTGCAGGGTCCCTCTCCCTGGAGTCTAGTTATTCCCTCAAGGTGCCGCAGTCGGTGTCGGTGCAGGAAGGTCTCTGCGTTCTAGTCCCCTGCACCTTCACGTACCCAGCCTCGTTCGACACCGACAATTCCTGGGCCCAGCTCTTCAGAAACTGGTACAAGGATCAGGTTGTTGTGCACTGGGATCTGCCTGTGGCCAGCAGTGACCCCAGCCAGGGGGTGTCGCAGGAGACCCAGGGCCGGTTCCAGCTGACGGGGGACCTGACACACGGAAACTGCTCCCTGCAAATCAGTGATGCCCAACGGATGGATGCAGGGAGATATTTCCTTAGAGTCGAGAAAGGAAACTTTAAATACAGTTACCGCTCCAATTACCATTGCACTCACCCTACACTAGAGATCTTGGTGCCAGGTAAGGGCAGCCGCAGTCACCGCTCATCAGCCCCCCTTAGCCAGCCCGTCCCAGCCCTGGGGCCGGATCAGAGCCGCGCCCCTAGAAGGGAAAGGCCCCGTGGCCCCGAGTGATTCTCTCCCTTCTCCCCGTGTCTCAGAGCTGACGGAGGAGCCAGAGATCCAGATCACGCCGGCGTGGGGGCCACCAGGGATGCTGCTGGCTGGGGAGCCGGTGACTGTGACCTGCACAGCTCCCGGGCGATGCTCCGGGACCCCTCCCCGAGTCACGTGGATAGGGCCATTCAGTGACACAGCCCGGAATGTCTCAGCTCCACTGGCGAACGGCACCTGGACCCACAGCTCCGCACTCAGCTTCACGCCTGCCCCGGGGGACCACGGCAAAGAGCTCAT